GAAGTGGCAGGAAGAGAGACTGTTGTGGAGGGACATGACGAAGTGGAATTACCTAGAAGTTAAGCATTGTTCACATTCCCTGTAACTTGATTTCTTTCTCTCTTGCCCTGCTGCAGAGACATGTCTCTGTCAGAATAGCTCTGGTAATATGGCATTTTATAAACAGACTTTGGCTGTTAAAGATCAAAATGGTGGCAAATGAAGCCTAATTAGGTATTTTTTTTTGGGCTCTGACCAGCTTGAAAATCCAGAGATTTTAATCTGATGGTGCTTTAGAAGTACTTCCCAGAACACCTCTTTGCAGAAATGTCCTACCCTGACTTGTAGGGAGGGACAACTCCAGCTTGAAAATCCAGAGATTTTAACCTGATGGTACTTTAGAAGTAATTCCCAGAACACCTCTTTGCAGGACTGTCCTACCTTGACTTTTAGGGAGGGACAACCGCCTTCTTTCCAAGAAAGTGACATTTTCAGATTTCTGTGTGTCATGCTCATGGGCTGGGTTAAACCAGTAAAAAATACCCATTAAGGATTCCTGAGATGTGGAAGCAGAATAGGAAGACAGGCTCCAGGTATATCTGACTTTTTCAGAGAAAAGTTTTCACCGCTCTGCTGTCATTTCAATTACCGTAGGAAGACAGGACTAGAAGGTCCTCTTGGGTCACCAAATCAAACCCCCTGCTAACATGGGTGGTTTGCTTCACAAACGGATCAAGGTCCATCTCACACACTGCTGGTTTGGGGCTCATCAGTCTTGCTGGATAGTCCTCCTAAACAATCTCACTGTGTTGTCAGTCAGAAGCCTCCTCTCCAATCCTAGCCTAAAGGTACCGACAGGGTTTCATACTCTTGTTTGGGATGAGCAGCGTCCTGTCACTTAAACTGTTCTCCTCCCTTGCCTAGCTCTGCATTCTCCTCATGAACTTAATATTCCCATACTGTGCTTTTTCCAGTACTACTTCATCTTTCTGGAGTATCAGCCATTAATGGGGTGTATTGCATATCCAGTATTGCAGATCGCTGTGCAACAGCATTGATATTCTCCTTACTCCTCTGTAATTACCTTTCCTGACATGTATTAGAAGCTCATTAACTTTTAACAGGTTCAATGTATTGGTACATTGTACTGCCTCTGCAAGCCAGAGTGATATGTACATGTGGATATCTACGTCTGAGTTTGCCTCCCAAGACTTCAGGGACTGAAATACGTACTTTTAGGGTCTATTTAATCTGATGTATTTTAGATGTCTTTTGGGCTAAGATATTTTATGACTTCACAGACTCCATTAACCATATCTGACTACAAAAGCATCTCCATGCAATTATCTCAGATGTAGATGTCCACAGTGACTGATACGTATACTTTTATTATACTCTCAAACATTATCTGTTGGTAAGCTACTTGATTGTAACATAAATTCTTAAATAGGGCTGAGTGCATGACCTTACACTTTGTATTTCATAATTCCATGCATCACGCCTTAATTCAATGATAATGGTTCTGCAATTTTTCCTACGGGATAGCCTCATACCCTCAAAATTGGTGTTGCATACTACCTTTATGTTCTCAGAAAATGTCATTAATATTTTTTCTGAGTGAATAGCATTTTCAGGGGCAGTGAACTAAAAGATGCATAGGACTGACCCTAAAAGAGCACTTCCAGCCTTAAATTTCACCTGTCTGGAAAATTCTGATGATGTCACTTCCCTGGTTACAGACTCTACATCTTGGCTTCCTTGTGACTCCTGAAAGCCAAAAACCACCATGGAAATGCAGCGGTGAATTACCAACTTGTGGTGGATTCGGGAATGATGGTAGATGTGCTGTGGAGGTACTAAGGGATGAACGTAAATCAGGTAGAGGTGAGACAATGGCAGTCCAGAAACTCAGCCCTGAGGGCGAGTTAATGCACTGTGACTGTTAGCTTGGGTTAACAATAACTGATGCTGATACAGAGCTGAATAGGAGCATGAGCAAAGACAGTGAGTGCATTTCTGTCCTGCATTGAGTTGCCCTTCACTTGGGTGGCATTTCAGGAGCAGCTGGTATAAAACAGGCTTCATCTGGGTGGCTGGCAGAAGAATAAAAGAGTGGCTTGGCCAGCGTACGTCATGCACACACAATGGGGTTGGAAGGTTGTTCTGACTGTGACTAAAGTGTCAGTTTTATTCATGCACAGTGTTAGTGCCCATTACATGCAATTATCCCCTGAGAAGTGGCTGGTGTCACACTTGACTTTGCACTGCTGGCCTGCCAGAGTAGGGGGCACCGAAACTGCCTGGCTACCCAAATTCTCCTACATCTTCTTGATAATTCCTGTCTCGGTGATTTTCTTTATTAACCTCAGTAACATAAACACGCGTAGGAAATAAGTTAAGCCCTTTATAAAACTTAACAGTAAACATAATTATTCTGTTAGCAATTTCAGAACCTCTTTCTTAGAAATGAGGGAGAAACTATTGTCTGTCTGGTTTGACTTCACCTTCCAAAGCAGCTTCAATGACTCTAAAAATGCCGTCTGACAACAGCAGCACAGTCTTATTGTGCAAAAGGCAGTTACACAGCACATAGATTTCCAACTGTGTTGTAAAGTTTAGTTATTGGAAGATGACTCAAATATCAGCTGACCACTTGTAAACATAGTTTCATGCGGCACTGCACTGATCTGAGACGTTTTCAGGATATGTGAATACAGACCAAAGATTTAAGATCTGCTAAATTCCCTTCCAACAGCTGAACTGCTCTATAAGATGAAGTTGCCCAGGGCACTTACTGACTTCCCTTGCTTTTCTTCCACCATTCCTTTAAATTTATGTTAGTGAGGCTCAGGAAGACCCGCAACCCGAATCACCGAACACATCACAGAAGCGCAGCGGTTGTAACTCTTCCATCACCAGTCTGCAGCATTACTTTGCAGCAGGTCTATTCTGTAACGCATGGGCTGGGACCGTGACCCTAGACACTACCATAACTACTGGCTTATGTGGCAGATAAAAGTATTTGATGTAGGTAAGCATGCAAGTTTGCCTCATAGGGAAAAAGGATACAGGATTTCCTCTGTGCCTTCAGAGGCTAAGAAAGCCTCCAGAGTCCAAATGGGATACAACCTCAGGATAATATTTTTCTTATCAGAACTGACGCTTGAAATGCAGAGGAGGAACAAGTATCTCTGCAAGTTAAAAGAGAAACTCTGCGAGCTCAGATTGTGACTCAGTTACAGGTAAAAGATTTAGTGCTTGGGCCTTCTTATTTTAAAGGGTTTATGGTGCTTTTCAGCTACCAGAACCTTTGTGACTGATGATGTTCAGCAAATGAGTGAGTTTGTGAATTCAATCCCCTCTCACTGAAGAAAGCAAGAATTTTGCTGATGCCAGAGGAATAAGATAACCTCTCTGTACCTGATAATCAGCATCAAGGAATCTCCATGTAATGCAGTTGATACTGGATGAGCCTCATAATTCAGAATTTGTTGTTCTTTTCACACCTGTGAGTCATTTCCTCTTTGGTTTTTTTTGTGGGATCTACAGACAATAATCATTCCTATTTACCAGTCATTGCTGTATGCTTACAGAACTGTTGTCTGAAGAGGATAAAGTATTTTTTGCTTTCAGCTGACCAGTAACATCAGCTTATTGAGGCTGAGAGGTTTTCAATATCTGTTTTTACATCCGCAACAGTCTTTTTTGATCACTGAAGGTTAAATATATGTAGATAATATTAGTTTAATCTCTGCTGAATCAGATATTATATTTAACAGAATTTATGCACACTGCTAAGTGTTACCATCTAAGGGTATCAGATGTTGCAAATTCACATCTTTCTATAATCCATGAATATTTAAAATGTTAACATTTTCCCTAGCATTTACCACATATTATTTTCAGGTTTCATTATCACATACACAATCTATTGCTTAATGGCAAGGGGAGATTAAATTTTGGATCTCAAGCTAAACTCCCCAACAAGATATGCAGAAAGTAGTAATTTACCCCAACCGCTCTAATCACATTTAGTTCCAAGAAACAGAAAGTTAGGAAAACACCGTAAGTAATCTGCCACTTTCTGAGTAATCACAGTTTAATATTTTGATTTCTATTAAAAAAAATCCCACTATAAAATACGATTTGCTCTTGCCATCAACATTTTCAGTAGAAAACTAATAGTTAAAAATCTAAATTAATGTGAACAAAAAAAAAGCACTCTGTTTTTATTTCGAGCTCTTTCAAGAACTTTTCTATCCCAGCACTGAGAACCAAAAGATTGGGCACCAAAAACCCAAGCAACTACTAAAAGCATTCAGCAGCAAAACCCCAACATTTTTTACAGCAGCATCTACTATTAAACAGCTCACTACATAAACAGTAAACCCATTAGAGCCACAATGTCAAAGATGCTCTGTAAGCTGAACAGGCAAAACATTCCCACAATGACTGCATGTCGGCAAAGCGCTCCATAAAATGTCAACAGGGAAATACAATTCAGTCTTAATAGGTTCAGACCTTATGTAAGCCCCGCTTATGGGATAGTCTATTAAAAAAGCAAGTGAGCAAGTGACATTACTATAAACACAACCTGCAGCTTAAGACATTCAATGCTCCACTCAAAGACACTGTGCTAGCTCTAAGGTTCGTGTTCTGGACCAAAGATGAAAGGAAACAAAAATATCTCCTGATACACTGACAATTGAAGTGATATTCACTCTGTATAGAAGAGAGAACTGGAATCCCTTCAGCCCCATGAATGGCTTAAGAAATATGTGCCTTTCTTCCAGTAAAACATTACCTGTTCCTCTGCAAAACCCAGTAAAGCCTTCATTCCTAATTACTAATGCAATGTTAGCAATTCTGCGTTTGGTATATGAACAAATTTCTCTAGGTGACAACCTGGTTCATCGAATTAAAGTCATGGAGCAATGTGAGATTTTTCGATTTCTGGATAAAAAGTGGTACATTTGCACACACCTTTCAGGAAAGGGAGAAAAAATATCTTGAGAACTCACCACCAGGTTTCCTATCACCATGACCAACAAGAAGACGAGAAGGCACAGCGGCTGCCCAGCTACTTCCATGCAGTCCCACATGGTCTCAATCCACTCCCCACACAAAATTCGGAAGATGATGAGGAACGAGTGGAAGAAATCATTCATGTGCCACCGTGGCAAATTGCCGGTCGTGCTTATCTTCTTTACATTGTCCATGTAGCTTTTCCCAAAAAGCTGCATTCCTACCACGGCAAAAATAAAGACGATGATTGCCAGCACAAGAGTGAGGTTACCGAGGGCACCCACTGAATTACCAATGATTTTAATGAGCGTATTTAAGGTCGGCCAGGACTTTGCCAATTTGAAGACTCGCAGCTGTGAACAAAACATAAAAAACAGTGTCAGTTCACAGAAGCAACAGACATTTCAACCGATGAATTATTAAAGTGAGTAAAACGTGAAAGACGTTAAATGCCACAGTGTGTGCGGTACAAGGTGATTTTAGCCCTACTTCCTGTTAACCTCGCTACATCTATTAATAAAATATCAGTTGGGCTTCTTGGATGAGAATTAAGTTTTCCAGAGCTACACGCTCCCTTGTTAGATAGATGTGCCTTTAGAGGCTCATTCCCCTGATGTCATGGTGGAGAGAGGATGGAAGGAGGAAATCTCAGGTCTTAATATTTTCTTTTACGTTTCTTTTCCTCCTCAAATTAAACAGTTTAACAAGCATCCAGGGGAAAGATTTTAGTGCTGGATCCCACAAAGAGAGAAGCAATTCCTCTGTGGTTCAGAGCAAGCCTCAGCCAGATGGTATTAGCTGTTAGCTCCCAGGGTGAAAATCACCTCTGTGCTGAGGATCACGCAGTCTATGCACAGCCCACGTTCCACTTAAGGCCTATTTTAAGGACGTAAATGGTTCCTAGCCCTTGTGCTGTGTTTTCAACTGAAGGTTTAATTTCAGCCCTATTGAAGAGGGATTGCTCAAAAACTGACAGGAGACTCTCAGGACCTAACAATAGTGGTGAAAAATTCACATTTTTTGAGCAGCACAGAGAATTTCAGGGGAAAAAAGAAAAAAAAAAGTAGTAATAAAAACGTCTTTTACTAAATGTAACCATAAGGGCTTATTTTCCTGGTCTTTCCAAGTTGCAAAGCCATATCATGGCCAGAATGATTAGCATGGACATCCTGGTACATGAAGTGCAACACAAATGTCAGGCTGGCAAGGAAACCACTTTTCTGTTCCAAGATGTCAACAGTCTCTCATTAATAGAATACCACTATCCCGTGCATAACAAAGGAGCTGACAGCTAAGGAGTTCCCGTGAAAGACAGATGCTATGTTATGATGATCAGTTCTAGAAAAAAAAAAAATCACCCTGTGAAAAATTCAAAGACATTTTCTTTTGACAGCATTTAAAAGAATGGTGGCATGTTTACAACATAATTTGGAATAACAACTTCTAAAACAACAAGTTACTGGCTCTTGCATTTCCTGGGCTATCAATTATCTGCTGACTATGCTAACAGGTGTACAGGTATAAAATGGCAGATTTTTATTACAAATTGGAACTCAAACATTTTAAGTGTGCTACAAGTACCTGGCACAGCTAGAAGGAATCAAATTATGTTTTCATTTACTCTGATGTAAATCTGGAACAATTCCATTTATCCCGCAGCCTATAATTAGTGTCACATACTGTTCACCAGTTTGCAGCAATTAAAGTCTTTATTGGCAGATGCATTTGTAAGAAAATATGTTGCACTGATGTCAGAGTTTATAGGTAACAAAAGAAGAGGAAAAAGAACAGAGTAAGACCATTACCAGTCGAAAGGAGCGTAAAACAGACAGGTTTCCCATGCTGGACAAACCCAGTTCCATCAGGCTTAGAATAACAATTATGCTGTCAAAAATATTCCAGCCCTGTTGAAAATAGTAGTAGGGGTCAAGGGCAATTACTTTGAAGATCATTTCTGCTGTGAAAATCCCAGTGAAGACCTGCAGAAAGGAAATATGAAGTTAAAGTAACCTTTTAAGCACACCTCCTTGCTTGCAGAGTTTCTAGTGATACAGGGGAACACAGTGAAAAGCCAAAAGCATTTTACCAGCAAATCCTTTCTTTTTCATGGCTGATTCTTTATCACTATTAAAACTTTGTCTAGTCTGTTCACAATAATATCTGATACAGCTGTAAACTTACAATGGCATCTGAGTTCAAGCTCTGGATTGGAACACACATTTCTATTTTCTTCCGTCAGCTGAATAATCTCAGTGGTAAAAAGCAAAGTCTAAAGGTGCTTTTTCTAAAGGTTAGATCTATTCATTTCAGTGGAGAAACCCAAATGAATGGAGTGGGAGTGTTAAAGGGGTATTTGGGTTGTAGTGTACCTGCTGTATTATCCCTATTTATTTTGTTATTATTATCAATACCAGGGCAACAGAAGCCTCCAGTCATTCTCAGGTTATTGCTGACAGTGAAGGCGATTAGAAACTCTAATTTGAGTAGTTGTGTTTTTTTACAAAGAGTCACAGCAATTTTCTTTTCACAGCATCCTGGGAACACTCTGCTTATTTATGACCCAGTTCAAATGTCATATGGTGGAACTTCTAATTGGAACATTTTTCTTTAAAACAATATATAAATATTACTTATGAGGCAAGGGAGAGGGGAAGGGAATGCTGCTGACAGCAAATTTAGTTTCAACACATTCCTGCAAAGTATCTCAGAGAATCAGATCTTGTCCTTTCGTATGTCCTCCCTAAGTAACAGTTTAAATGCACAACACAAGGCTACAGTCAACTTAAAATGACAAAATGTGGGCATCAGGTTCTTCACATCCTGTTTTATTTTCGTTCCAGGTCCTGGTACAAGCTGCACAGAGCTTTATGTTTCTGAAAAGTTCTGTATCGTACATATATATTAAAGCACATGGTTTTCTGTGAAACAAACAACATCAGTGCACTGTGTTGGCCAAAAGAAGAGGGAATCCAGAGATCACATATCAGTAGCATGCAGTTAAGGAGAAATGGATTCCTTTCAATAAGCTGAGTGTTTGCAGCATTATCCCAGCAAAACTAATCAGCTCTGAGCAACAGAGATGAGAAACCCATTAGGATGTGGAAGGGAAAAGGTAGTACTATATAATTACAATATTAAGGAATAAAAATAAATTGTCATAAACTGTATTTGAGGAAGGCTTGGCTTTGCTCTGTTATGCTTCAGGAATGAATTCTTCCAAGTGGCCATTTTATACAATTCCTTATGTAAAATACCTTCTTTTTCTCATCAGGAAAATAATACCTTGGACTGCAACAGTTGTTACTGTCATCCCATGACCATCTCATACCAAGAACCCAATAAAATGACCTGTCACATATTTCTAACTAGCCAACAATTTCTGAGTCATGGTGGTCAGAGATACCAAAGATTCCCACCAGAATGCTCCAATTCCCTTAGGACAGAGAACAAGACAAGAACTGGATTTCCATGAAATTGTATCCCGGGGACTACCTTAAAACCCACAATACCACGCTACATGCATTATGCAACCATCTTGCTGAGAAATGACTCAGGAGGATCACTTTCTTTGCCTGAATCATTTTAATCAATAGCCTTCTGAGAAGGAAATGTCACAGTATGATAGCAAAAGGCCTGAGCCTTCCTAAAGGCATCAGGAATCGCGCACATGTACCAGCTATGAATTTCAAACGGCAGTTGTCAAACCACCAGCACCTGGTACGCGGCGACGGCGCTTGTGCATGAGGCTGGATACTCAGTACAATAAAGGCTGGAAAGAAAACAAGTAACTTAACATCCCACTGATGCTACACATGCCACTGCTGATTCGGAGGACTTTGTCTTAAACAAAAAAAAGAAAAGTTTTATCCATCATTTCAGCTATTTAATATGGCATAATGGTATCTCTGTTGCTAAAGGAAAACGAAATTTGGGAGAATTTTGCTCTATCTACCTATTTTTAAGCGGCAGCACTGCGTAGGCAGATGAACCATGTAAAGATGTACGTGTGCTTCTCAGGTCTTCTGATCACATTTGGAAATGTTGATTCCTGTAAGTGTTGAGCTAAAGGAGTCTGAAGGTAGCAGGTGCTGCATGAAGTAGACAGACAGTCAGAGAGGGAGGCAGTAGATGAAGAATCGCTCTTGGAGAAAGTCAATCCATATTTCGCTTTCTTTCTCACAGAAACATTTGTTTTGAGGAAAAAATGCCAAAGATCTGTCCTTTTTAATATTTCCTCCCATTTAATGCTAGTATAATCACTCAAAGAGTGTTAGGCACAATGGGAAGATGACAGCCAGCCAGCACGGGGGCAGAAGAGGGATGTGGCAGCCTGTGGCTTAGGGGATGCAGTCACCTGGCAGCCTGCCCCGGGGCTGGGACTCCCTTCCCTTCCACAGGGGATTGCAGAAAATATCAATTTTCATTACAAATTACTTTGCAAAATCCTCCACAAAATGGAATTGCCTTCTTCTGACCTGCTCCGTTCACAATCAATCCAGTTATGCAGGGGTTCAGTAAATCTGGTGAGGGGGAGCCAGGATGGTCTGGCCTCTCACCAACCTATCCTGGGATCAGAAAGGAAGGGGAACTCCATGCCACCAGCCTGCTACAGCAAATATTAGCAGGCTGTTTTGCTTACACTTTGGCACAAAGAGGAGAAATAGCTCTAGACAGTGCTAAGAAAATTACAGTGAGATTTTTTTTTTTCAAAATCTTGCAAAAATTCGCTTTGCAATTCCTCCCCTTGTTCATTGACTCAGTTTCCTTGCTGGCGCCCGGAACAGCCCTGCTCAGCCTTGGCAGGTCTGCAGGAGCTGTGTTGGCAAGGGGGATGCCCGGGGGCTAAAGTTTCGCTGCCTGTGGTCTGCACAGGGAGAAGCTGATCTGCCGAAAGCAGAGCAAAGAACAGACACATTTACTATCATCCCCAGTGACAGAGGAGGAAACAGCAGTATTGCCACCTGTTCTGATGGACAATGGGCTGAAGGAGTTTTTAAACTCATCTTAGAAGGCCACAAAGTGTTGAGCAACAATGAGGAAGGCTGGCTGCAAAGTGGAGCTGGATGCAGTCCTGTGAGATGACTTCCCAAGCTACACTTTTCTACTGCTTTCTGCAGAGGGTAAGAGCACCAGGAGAGAGCCACAAATTTCTGCTTAGCACAACAACAGAGGGACATTTGCCAAGACACAAGTGCTGCAAAACTGGAGACTGGTCCCACAGCCTAGGAGAAGAACCTCAACCTGCCCAAGGAGGCCCAGAGCTAAGAATAACAAGGACCAGGGTAAAGAAAAAAATACATACCTGATGTACCACATATTCTAGGACAGATACAAAAAGTCTCATTATTACTACTACCCACCTAAACCTGCCAGCGTAGGATGCTTCTCACTAAAGGCAGACATCACATCTGTAATGTCTCTGCATACTCCCACTATAGACAACGGTCACTACAGTCACTGGCCTCCAGGACATAGTTCACCTTATCCAAAAGTAAATGTCTTTAACATTAACTGTGACTTAAAATTGTCCATTACTCTCCATTGACTTTAAAGAGAGACAAAGGCACCTCTGACAGAGACTCCTACGCTGTAAATACCTAAAATTAGGCAAGGTGAATCCCACTTTGACTTACTGCAGCCTTTGGTTTTATAGAAATAAACGACCTTTTTTATCTCTGCTATGAGACTCTCAAATTCAAACTTAGCAACATCCAGTTCTAGGGAACTCCAGACTCACTTATGGTACCCTACAGGATATCTCTGCTTCTACTGCTAGATTTTAGGGGCAATTTCACCATGCCATAGTAGTATGTGCCTTTTCCAATACAGACTATTCTAAAATTAAAAGAGTTTTAAACTTTAGATTCTAAAGCAGTAAATCACTGTAGCTTTTAAACAAACACAGAGAAAGACAATTAAAGAAAAAGCTTCTGTTTTATAGTAACTGCAGAATTTTAGTGTCCCCCGGGCTAAAAAATTGTGCATATTGCCTCTGGAAAGGCTTTTCTGCTGTCCCTGCAGCTTGGCTGTAGATCTGTCACTCTGCTTTTCCTCAGAGAAGTGCAGTCTTTGCTTACTTTGCAGCTCTCTGGCTGCTCCAGCTTGCACATCAAGAGTTTCCCCTTGAAGCATCAGCCACGCTTTGCTCCATGTCCCCTCTGCCCTGGGGTTTGCATGGGACCCAGCACACACAGCTGGACAAGGCAGGGAGGCACAGCAGGACACAGAGGGACATACAGCAAATGTCCCTGAGACACCTTTCTGCATATATATCTATATACACTCAAACACCACTCTATTTCCCTCCAAGATCTTGCCTTGTTTTTTTTATGTAGGTTTTTCTTAACTTAAATTCACTATTAGGCACCAAGGACTGATGCCTTATCATTGCTTCAAAAGAAATCCCAAATAAACCTCATTAACCTTTTTCTTACCTCATTTTGTTAAACTTCTACAAACCAGAATCCTACTGGGAACAGCCCAGAAACATGGCTTTAATGGTTACTAATAACATTAGAATATGTTAGTTTAATAAAAATAGACCCTTCGTTCATCACTCTTCACCCCCAGAAAGAGGTGACTACGTGGACTTGGTTGACACGTCACAGGTAAAGTGATGCTGACAACATATCAAAACGGGGTCTTCCCAAGCGTCAGCCAAGACTCTAAAAAGCAGGAAATACACTCCTCAGGTAGCACTTGCAGTTCACGTTCACTTACCAAATTGCCTATGTAAAGCATGTGGTCAAACTCCTTCGTCATCTTATAATGCTCCAAGGCCATGAAGAGCGTGTTCAGCACAATGCAAAGGGTGATGGTGAGGTCAGTAAATGGGTCCATTACCACGAACTTGACAAATTTCTTGATCAAAAGCCAAAGCGGGCAGCAATCCCAAATGAGAAATTTAACAGCAAAGTGGTTCCAGCAGGGAGGACATTTCTGGTGTGATTCCTCAAGCTCTAAGTCACAGGCAGTAAAGTAACAGTCAATTCACACTGAGTTATATGACAAGGGAACACTTAAAATGACTCATAACATAGAGGAAGGCCCCTGATTTACCCCAAACATTTTTTTTTTAGGATAAAATTATTTCTGTCCTAATAGGCTGGCAAATTACGCACTTTGGGGTGTTTGCCAGTTGACCTGCACTGAGCAGGCAGTGACCTTTTCTGAAAGTAATAACCTTTTAAAAGTGTCGCAAGCAAAAAGGGAGAATCACGCTATAGAGGTAAAGTCCAGTATTATATATAGGCTCAGTTTTTCACTCTGTTTTCCATTTTGGAAAAGTCAAATGGATAAGAATACACTATCTTAATTTAACTTAAATAGGAATGGTTATTTTCATCCCCAGATCTCATTTTAGAAGTATCTTAAGTAATAACTTTTAAAAGGGGTTAAAAGATGAAAGAGCTAAAACCAGTATTTAGAGCTGATTTAAGGGCTTGAGAGCCAGAGTATCACTGGTTATCAATAGGGTTTATGTTCTTGATGTGCAGTCCAAAAAGGCACTGAGCATCTGTTTTCTTCTGAAAGGCCACATACAAAATCAGGGGAGTGCATAAGTCTGAAAAAGCTGACAAAGCTTCAGTGTCTTTTAAAAATGTGGTTTTAAAATATTACTTAAAATACAACTTCTATATGCTCATTTTATTTGAGCTCAAAAGAAGTGAAATAGCTTCAGAAGTGTAATTCCTGTTAAATAATAACAAGAGAAAAGCCAGAAGAGCCCGTTAATGGCTGACAGTGATTAGCAGAATTGCCTAATTCTTTCCTTTTCTGGTTCCTTTATGGGCATGGAATGCTGCATAATGGTTTTATTCTATATAACTAGAACCTGCACTGATAACAGAAAAACTTCAGCCAAGGCTGCTACTGCAATCAGTTTATTGACAACCTCCTCTCTCAAGCCAGGATGCTTTCTCTGTGTGTTTTCCTTCACTGGACAACAGACCTGCAGTAGTCAGTGTCATCTAGCAAGCTTTCAAAAGGTCGGATGATGCACGGCTTTTGCAACAAACATCCACACTACTCCAAGATCTCTGAGAAACCAAATTGCTCCCGGGAAATAACTATGTCTTTCCAGCCTCCAAAGAGAGGGTTTACAGGTAAGTGCCTAAAATGATGTGAGAAACATCTGAACCTCAAACAATTGTAAAGCAAAATCCTAAATGTGCATTTTTTTGGAAACCCACCTCAAAGTAACAAAGACTTCGGGGCAGTCAATTCTTAAAGGACCTAATTTTCCAGGTAACTCCTGGAAGTGCAATGCCTGGGAAAAACAGGCAGATGATGACTAGCCAAGAGCAGAAACCAATTAACTAAAGGGGAAGGGAGTTCTTGTCTGGCTGTTTCACACTGTTCGTCACAAATCATACAGCTATTATTATAGTTAAAGCCTGTGATACATTTTATTCTGATTTGATACTCCTCTTGTTAACAAGTATTCAATTTCAATGACTAATCAAGTCTGGGAGTTAGAAAACCTTTGATAAGATTGAAACAATTATCTTCAATATGAGGCTAAAACCGTACATCCTCTGAGTTACCCTAGACTTGATGGTCTCTATTTCTGTAATCAAAAATAATAGAAAGCATCATTAAATAAATAAGCAGAAGTCCAGCTCAGGCATCTTAGGCTTTCTTAACACATTACAAGGCAGCGAATCAATCACAAAGCTAAAAACCTCACAGAAAACAAGTAAAACCTTTGCAGACTACATGTAACACTGGAATAAACTGATTATTTAGTTACTAGGAATACAACAATTTATTTATTTAAACATATATATATATATGTTCTGGCCACAATACTGTTGAATATAACCACAGGGGATGGTAAAAAACTGAGGAAGAAGGGTTTTGTGGTTACACGCTTGGCTGTCTCCAGGGTCCAGTCCCTTTCTGTAAGGCATGTCCGGGGTAAGGCCATCCATCCTGCCCTGCCTTCCTACTCATCATTAACACAGAGAACAAGGCTGCAGGAGAATCCAGAATTTCCCTTGCTCCACACTGCATTCTTGACAGACATTTGAATACACTCTTAGCTGCTACCTCCTATCTTATCTCAATTTACTGTGTAGGAGACACAAGGAACTTCAGAAGGATATTGACCATTTGGAGCGCGTCCAGAGGAGGGCCACGAAGATGATCAGAGGGCTGAGAGCCTGTAGTGACAGGACAAGGGGTAACGGGTACAAATTGAAAACAGGGAGGTTTAGATTAGATATCAGGAAGAAATTCTTCCTGGAGAGGGTGGTGAGGCACTGGAACAGGTTGCCCAGAGATGTTGTGGATGCCCCATCCCTGGATGTCTTCAAGGCCAGGCTGGATGAGGCTTGGAGCAACCTGGTCTAGTGGAAGGTGTCCCTGCCTATGACAGGGGGGTTGGAACTAGATGATCTTTAAGGTCCCTTCCAACCCAAACCATTCTATGATTCTATGATTCTATGATTCTAACTTTCATGCTGCATGTAAAAAGACTAGAAATTGTCTTGCTATGAGTTGTTGTCTTGTTATCAATACTTTTGTAAAAGGGAAATGCAAACTTCCTGTGTATGGAAAGATAGGGAAGGAAAATCCTCCTACACCTAATGAGAAGCCTAATGAACAAGAGAAAAAAATTGCTGAGAAATATTTGCATGGACAAATGGGTCCTTTGAGCATCCTTAAATTTCACGGTTGTGTCCCACTAGCTACTCTGCAAGGAGGCTTTCCTCCCCCACAACTTGGAAGATCTGCACATAGCTGGTGACAGCACACGACAGGCTTTGCATCAGATCCAGAGATATGAGACATAAATGTTTGCAGTCACCCAAACAGTCTGGTGCTCCACTACCCTGCATCTTGGCTAGCTCTGTGTAAATTAAATGCCATGGAGGCACAAAATGTCACCAGATCTGACTTTATGATTATATGGCCAGCATTTTGTTAGAATTTTTACAAGTGCATGGGGAAGACGCCTTCAGTTACAGTTTCACCTCTCTTGTAGGGGTTGCAATAACGATAATGTCTTCTTGCAGAACAACAAGAGTTCAAGATTATGATCTTTTTTCTGACTTGCTCCTGCCAGCCAACGTGCATATGGCTTAGAGCTGGGGAACTAAAGACAAGTCTTACCTTCCAGGGCACTGGTGATGATGCTGACAGCACTCACTGCCCTCTGCCTCTGAAAGGGTTCGTCCGAGTGGTCCACTGACGGGCGGTGGGGCATTAAAAGCTGCTTCTTGCTTGCCTCGTCTGATGGAGAGGTCTGTTTAAATGAACGCATTGGATTAGCAGAATAAAAACTAGGCAAATATCGGGTAGCATTTTCAAGATGGCCTAGGCACTATTTTTCCCATCTGAGAATTCCAAAGCTCGGTGATTTCCCAATTACACACTTGCTGATGAGGTACTGCTTTTGAAAATGACACTTTGAGCAATTTTGGAAACTTTGCCCTGCCCTTCACCTTCATGCAAACAGGTGAAAGATGCAGGGGAAAATAAAGGGATGCTGCTGATGCTGGAGAAACAGCAGTGCTGCTTTACCATGCTCTTTGCTTGTGAAAGAAACCCTACTTAATTACATTAATTATTCCATTATTTCTGAAATGTGTTAACTGTTTAATTATACTGCTAGAAGAGGAAAAGGGGCGTGGGTAACAGCTCTATTACAGGCCTCTGATACCATACCAAGCAAACTGACTCCTCAACACATGTTTTTTCTTGTTCTGAAACACTGCCAAATCTCAGGAACATATTGTCTTTCTGGTGATCTTTGGTGTCCCTGATTCTGAAGCTCCATAATTAAGGGAGAACCTCAGCTTCTTTTTTTCTCTTAGGAAAAATAAAAAATAACTCAAACTAGTTCTCATGTTTCTCAAGCAAAAGCTTTAAAAAAACCCTGAAAAAAATTCAAACCCAGAAAAACAGAACTCTCAAACTGTCTTTAATTAATGTTTCATTTTAAATTAGTTTTATGCTTTTATCAAAAGGAAAAAAGCTTGGGTTTCTGAAGTCAGCCAGAAAGACAGTGCTGCTGTAAACACACACTGTATTAAGTACTTTACAATGTCAGCTCATAGGAGCAAGATGTTAAGACTTCTATTATTGCAAGGTCCCACTTCATAAAGACAAATCCCACTTGGTTTACTCCTCCAGCTCTCCCACAGTTAGAAGCAAAGATGGTGGTGGTGATGTAAGGATCTAGGAAAGCCAAATCCAAAGCCATTCTCTGTCACAAGCCTCCTGATCAAGACACTCAGTCTCCCAAAATAAATGTTTTAACAGTCACCGTCCTGCTCCTCCAAGCATACAGGCTGTGAGGTCTGAGATACTATGTGAGCAAGAGAGATGCACTGTAGATGGGTCCTGATGGTCTTTGCAATATAGCTCAAGGGAATGCAAAAAGAGAAGAAATCCCTATGAAGATGATAACCCCTACTTATACAGTTGACAAATTTCTTGATCAAAAGCCAAAGTGGGCAGCAGTTTATACAGATATCAGAGTAGCTGCTTTTGCTTCTCCATAGTCAAATGAGCTACAGGAATCAGGTTCAGTCTTCTGGACCTTCTCTCATCACTTGGGTCTGAAACAGCCCTAACTACCCCAAATCAATATCCAAGATGCAAACCATGAGCAGCAGCTTCACAGCTCTGCTGCCTGTACCTGGGACATGCACCCAGAGGGACTGAGGATCCTTCCTTTTAATCATTTCTCTATCAAAACTGCTCTTCAAGAAAGGCAATTCCATGAGAATGGCAGGAGAAAATCACTGAAGCTCTGTGAGCTGTCCTTCTGGAGCGTTATTTCTTCAGGACAGGGGACATTCCCTTGTCAGGTTGTTGCAAAGGACAAAGCCACTTGGCCACCGGTTGACACTGAAAATAGCCAGTATACTGGTCCCAGATCACTTCAAAGTACTACAGATAAAAATACCAATCACTCCATGATCAGAGAAGAGTAAGGACTTCTAAAACAAGGACTTAAAATATTAAGTAAGCCAGGAAAGCAGTAATGTTTCAAAATGCCCCCTTTTTTTTCTGTTTTCTAAAATGCTCTCTTTTGTTAAAACAATTGGCTCATTGTCCATTGAGTTACTGACGCATTCATCTCAAAAGGAGAGGTGTAATCAGAACCTATTCAGAGAGACTCCTACTTGTGCACAACATAACAAGAAATCACTCAATCCTTTGCTTAGGAGCTGGGGAAACGGGGAACAATATTTCAGATGCATTAGTTTTCTTGATTCTCTTCACCTCAAAATATCCAATAAAAACAAAACCCAAAAAATCCTCAAAAAAACAGAAACAACAAATGTTTTATTAATGAAGAAAGCATCTACGCAATTGCATAATCATTTGCACCAGTTTGGAGTACGTAACAAATACATGGGACTGAAATGAAATAACTAGAAAAAGAGAAAAAAAAACCCCGTGAGTGAGACAAACATTGAAGTAAAATGAAAAGTTAAAAGCAAAGACAAAGGAAGAAGAAGCCAAATGGAACCTCAACTTTTCCAGTTCCCTCTGTCTGTAGAATGAGCCATAATACAATCTCAAATTTCAAATTCTTCTGGATCATCTGGCTCTTTAAACTGTACCATATTCCCATCCCATTTGACCCAAAGCTTAGGACATAACAGTAGTATGTTTTTATACAATCCCATCCCCAGAAGGACCAGTTTTCTGATTGTCAGGAAAGATACTATATTCCTATTCATGCATACAGAAATGCTTTTGGAGAAATTATGGGTTGGTGGCCTTTACCTGAGAGCCACCTTTTATTCACAGGTGAAAAGAGAATTCACTGCAGAGGTAAAAAATGGAAGGAAGAACATTCAGAGATTCATTCTTCCTATTTTTTCATTCGGCTAAACCAGAGTAAATGAAAAGTCCAAGTTTAACAGGTTTGGCATATTTTTCATTAAAAAAATAGCATGGAACTGGATTTTTCCTTAGGTTTGATGTGATATTCCCAACCCAATGAGTTTTTTAAGTCGCTCTATTTTTCTTTCTAGCCCAGCACCCTCAGTCCTGCTACCTATTTCACGAGAAGATGTCCCCAGGACTTCAGGGGTTCTGCTGGAGTCAAGGGGGCTGTTTGCAGTTGTGCCATCCTCCACGTGCAAAGGGGTATTTCTGAAGGAGACATGTGCATGGCTCTTTTCTACCTTCATCTCTGGAGGAGTGAGCTGGTGCAATTTGCTGCTGGCCCACTGATAGCCACCCACCCACCCAGCTACGTGTGCCCGCGACCGAGGGCAGAGCCTGAAGCCTGGTGCTCCCTGCCAGCCCCTCAGCAGCAGGCAAAGTGTGGAGGTTCCTCCCCACAGCCAGGACACAGTGGCCAGCAGGCAATGTCAGGGTGTAAGAAATCCTCCTTGCAGGAGGACGTGGTCTCTACCAATAAGAGCAGCAAATCCCAGTCAGCTTGCAATTTACTATAAACTATTTTTCCAGGTGAGAAAATTTCCATCCAGGTGAATTGCTTAAAATTATTCAAGTTACTTAGCTTTTTTCAAGTTTATGAGCTTTTGTTCTTTGTAAAGAATAGATATGTGAGGGTTTTTAAAAATTATTTATTTTAGAACAGGGATAGCTGATAGTCACACAAGGAACTGGAAGTTTTTGCACAGAGACAGGGAGCAGTTCCAGGAACTGGACAAAAAAGGCAGCATAAAGGCTATTTTTATTACAGAGAGAATATACACAGGCACGGTTGTTCATTGTACTTATATTTCTATAGAAGTTAAGCAAAAATAACAACAGTCCCTACAGTTATGCCAGGAGTTTCCTAAGGATGCAGATGAGAAATCACAATGGAGTTAAACACAGGCACCTCCAGCAGGACAAGATTATTTGTGTCACTCCCTGACTGACTGGAAATGTTACTCCTTTGGATTAGCTAAATTCTGTAGGGACAAATATACCATTCAGTAATTTACATGTAAATGAGGATGAATAACACTGCAGAATGATCTTCTTCTGAGTGCCTATAGTTCTGAGCTATGTCAAAACTGTTACGTGAAGATGGGCTTATACATGGCAGCATTTTGAAGACCACATTTGGGAACTGGTACAGGTTTAATTTTCCTTATATAGTAAATATCTTTTCAAGCATAAAAAGAGGTGGACAGGTCACCCCATGAACCATGGACCCAGTAAGGCACTAGCACAAATATTTGATGAGATTGAAAGTTAGCATAATAGCACAAATCATTAAAAAGAAGACATTTAATTTTGTGGATACTTGATTATTTAAAGGGAAGCACTGTATACTGGACCAGCTTTCAATATTTGTGTCAAATCTGAATGATTTATGCGTAGGATGTGCTAAAACAGTTTGAAATGAGCAGAAACTAGTGCTGTGGTGACAACTGGCTGACAGCAGCAGAGGGCTAGCTAGCTTTTGTCCATATGACTTACTGGTGACAACTTTTGGATGACTTATTTTGTTGACCTTTTTCTGAACATGGAAACTGCTAACACTTTGCCTTTTCACCAGTATCATGGCAAAGCAAGAAGGGGAAAAAACAAATTTTACCTCAGGGTGCTTTTAGGGTCAACAAGAAAACCTCAAATCAATGTGGTCAGCAAAACAGTTTTATGCTTAACAACAACAAAAGCCAAGGTCGTCTTTTTTTTTTTTTCTTTTTGGTATAAAAGAAGATAAAAAGAATTTATCTAAAGATAAGAGTCTAAATTCTTAGTTTGGCACCTAAATAAACAGCCTGGCCTTTCCTACAGGTTCAGTCCCCAGTAGTTTCCATTCACATGAATCTAGCAATACCTGGCATTTCTAGTTTCCCAAAATAAATTAAAAAGAAAAGTGACCAAGTGGAAATTCAGGAAAGGTTGTATGTGCACGAGGAAGACCCCAGATAGCTCCAACCTCTGCCTCTCTGCCTATCCCAAAGCCATGTCATGGGTGGCCCTGGTCCACTGATGGGCTGACGGAAAACTCCTTTGGGTGAGAACAAAGCAGTGGGGACCACCAGCTACGAGCCAGTTGCCCTCTTGTAAACAACCCCCTCCTCAGCCCCATGTCCATTTCTCTGCCACTTCTCCAAAATAACTGGAATGTTGGGCTGAACTAAAAAAAACCTCTGTGAAATCGCTGCAGATTTACAGAAAGGGCTCCAGTTTTCTTTTGGAGGCATGAGGGAGGGGATGCTGCCATGTGTATTTTTCAGCCCTCAAGAAATTCTTGACAACCACAGGCAGCATCTTACTTATAAGATTCCATGGATAGATTGAGGTCCAGATAACAGCTCATTAACTTAATCCAATTCTGCTCAAGCAGATCAATACCTTATGAAGGGAGATGTTATTCTAACCTCTTAAATAACTAAGAAACACCAAGACACAACAGAGCAACACATAGCTAAAATAAACACTACAAGAATGCACAGAACTTTAGTTTGCAGTGTGCCCTAAAGTTACTTATATAATGTATAGCCTTTTTCTAAAAAAAGGTGAAAGCCCAAACTCCCAGCCCAGCAATAAGCAGGATCATGAAAACATACCATTTTTCAGACCTCTCCACTTCAGGTCAAACCAAAAAATATTAGGATTTTAAGCATAGTCACCAGGTCCTGCTTGTGTCTTTTTTACCCTGGGGAAAGTTTTATGAAGCCAGCACCTGCATCACTTGAAGCAAGCTGGTAGGAGAACAGGACCAGCCCTGATTCAGTCCCCTCCGATATACACTGGAGATTTCCAGGAGAGTGACGAGGACTTACCATGGGTTCCTTTGGACAAGCTCCCTGCAGCCCTTGGACATGAACGCCTGTTGCTCTTCACATCCAAGCAAAGACTGACTGACCCAGCACCACCTTTGTGGAGGGTGTTTGCAGGTCAAACCTGCATACTGCACTACTTTGCTCTTCATATGGCCTCAGCGGGCTTTCGAGCTTGAACAGTGCAGTGTGACCCTCTGTGCTTTCAAGGACAGCTGCTCAACAACACTGTCACCACTCCCTGGGCACGGGGACGTCAACGCGTGTAATGAAGTGTGCAGAGACACATGGGTTCCTTGCAGAGGGTGGGATGTCCCTCCTTCTTCCTCAGGCTGTGGACTGAAGCTCCTGGTGACTTGGCAGGAGTGCTTTGATGGAGAAGACTGCATGGATGGATGCTGTTCTGCATGGATCATTATGTTCATGTCCAGCAAGCCTGCTGACCATCAGACTACCCCAGCTGACAAGTCTAATGGGCCTTAACACCCATCCATTGAGATTATTTGAAATCTCTCCTGTTTCATAGTTGTATTTAGGGACAAGGGGGAGGAGATGGAAGGTGCAAGCACACTTGGTTTCTCATGGAAAGACTCACATCCATCTGTGCCAAGCAGCCAGGGCCATCTGAAAAGCATTTGAAACTGGCTTTTTTAGCTTACATGCTCTTCTGCAGCTGAGTGTCAGGAGACCAGTCATCTGAGTCACCATCCTGAAAACTGGGATAATCTGCTGCAGCCCCCACTCTCATGGAGGAAGGCACAAGCTGCACAGACACATTCACCTGCAGCCATTCCTGTGCAAAAAACCCTTGGCTGGGACAGAGGGGAGCAGTTGCAAGGACACAAAGGCATGGAAGTTGTTCATTGTACTCCCAACTACTTTGCCTGGGGTAAACTCTTCAGGCTGAATGTTGCTAAAACCGAACAGGCTAACATGCTCAAAAGTGGCTAGTGACTATTTATGCTTTCCCAGAGAAACCTTAGGAGGGCCTAGTTTGAAATCATCTGCTGAAATTATGTTCTGCTTAAGGGCTGCAGGTTGAAAACTCAAAACCAGAGATGGTCAGACCTTGTTTGATGATTACTCTGCTTTTTAAATCAGAAGTGCTGATTTTTCCAAGCTGTCCCTAAATCAGAATTCAGCAGTCTCACCCCTCAGTAACAATGACAAGTCTGTGTTATGCTCATCTGATACTACCGAGCATCACAGAGGGACTTAAAAGCATCTTCAGAACCTAATGCTGTAACATGTGTTTTGCCAGCTCCATCCCCTCAGACATTGCGTTTACATCGGTGAAGCTACACTTACACACCGGGAAGCTGCAAGTCAGGGCTTAATGCATATTACAGTGATGCCTTTTTCATGGACTGGTCCTTCCTTCATTGTTCAGGGAAGATACATCCTATATTAGAAGTGGGTCCTTTTTCACCATGGGCTTACACTTGTACAAAATAAATAACAGCAGGGTCAGTGGGGTTAATGAGGTAACTTCAACCTCACCCTACAATATCTTTCTTTTGCCTCCCCCAAACGTATCAAGAGACTATCAAAAGAAGCCAGAGCTGCTAACAAAGAACAAACTCAACTTCAAATTTTAACAAGAAAAAGGCAAAAAATAATCAAACACAAAGCCTGGAAGGGTGTTGATTTATCTCTGAGCACACTGAGGTGTTGGATTTGCTATTTCCTTTCACCTGCACTCCACAGCTGAGGCTGCACACTAGTGCCCCGCTCTTACGGTTCCTGTAGCGAATACATCTGTACAGCAGTGGGCTTCTTGCCAATTAGCTTTTAACTCCAGCTCACATTTTCTGGATAGATTAGATACCAAACCTGTTTTGCAGAAGACACAACATCCTTCACATTGCATCACTGAATGAGCATCTGTTACTATAGTGCCTGGATGTTATTTCTTAGATGACCAGGGAACTGCCAAGTGAGCTCAGCCAACCAGGCCATTTAATTTTCCACATCCATTTTTTTTTAAAAGCAGGAGGCTGGTAAATGAAAAGAAATTCCAGCAGAGCTCAAAGCCTCCCTGTCACCTCAGGGCCCAATCCTGTAAAATACCAATATTTCCTGTGAAAGGTCGAGTGCTCTCATGCTTTGTTAAGCTTTTTCTGACAGCTGGGAGAGCCTCAGCAGCCTGCAGAACTGCTTTCCTTACAGAGAAAAGGGGGACATCCACTTCTCATCTACCAGAGCCTTTCTACTCTGGTTCAGATTTATTTTTTTTTTTAAACAGACGCACAAACCCTTTCTTCCACAATTCCTTTAATACAGAGCTTTTTTTTGTTTTGGTTTGTGCCAAGATAAATCCAGAGGGTAAAAACGGGAGTAGCAAAGTTTCAAATGAATGAAGGTGTGAACATTTGAAAAAGCAGCAACAGCCTCAAAACCACCACCAAAACAGATAATTTTCACACCACCCAGACGCGCAGCATGGCCCCTCCTCTCATGTACAGTGTGAGAGTCTATTTGCAGGACTACAGGGAATGCCCAGATAGGTGAGGAAAAAAATTAAATCCAAAGGTTGAGAGAGAAGAAGCTGCCTGGCTGTAGAGAAAAAAAAGCTACTTCTCAATTACTGATAATCTGACACCACAGCTGGGACTCATCTCACTCGCCTCTCTCTTCAGGAAATACCTTGCCTAATACATGTTAAAATCACATTTGCTTATTTCCCCACCAGTGTAATCCAGTTTTGGCACCTTGTTACTCTGAGTGGGTTTCATCTCGCCTGACTTAAGACATGCGCAGCACAGTTATTCATCTTGGGCTCCTTTTGAAGTTAAGGTGAACAGAAAGAGGCACTTTTATGGAGAGAGACTATTATGACCCATTTTAGATCTCTAAGATGAAATAAATGAAATAAATGAAATGAAATAAATACAAGAGCCTGTAGTGACAGGACAAGGGGTAACGGGTACAAATTGAAAACAGGGAGGTTTAGATTAGATATCAGGAAGAAATTCTTCCTGGAGAGGATGGTGAGGCACTGGAACAGGTTGCCCAGAGATGTTGTGGATGCCCCATTTCTGGATGTCTTCAAGGCCAGGCTAGATGAGGCTTGGAGCAACCTGGTCTAGTGGAAGGTGTCCCTGTCCATGGCAGGGGGGTTGGAACTAGATGATCTTTAAGGTCCCTTCCAACCCAAACCATTCTACGATTCTATGATAAATCCTGCCCACACTGACCGTGGTGACTAGACCTCCATTGCTTTAAAGACTGTTCAGAGTCATGAGCTCCCATGTAGATTATCTACATTAAAAGAGATAATTTTCCACCATATCAAACTGGCAACTTGTCCAAATTGCCCTGTCTGTGTAGTAGCTATACCAAAACACCATCTCACGGTTTTCCAAGTGAATTGTACTTGGTTCCTAAAGGCATCAGTCTTAATAGTTTTACTTATGACCTTATTAAATATTTTGCAACGGTGGTGCTTTGCAACAAAGATCCTGGCAATCTGCAATAGCTTGAATTCTGCTGAACTTCCTGGGTGTTATTTGAACTGGATGCTAAACCCTTCTGAAAACTACCTTTGGACCGTACAAACAGCTCTCTACAAGTAGCTATAGAGAAGACCAGAGGTTAGATGCAAACAGATACCAACCAGTGGGAGAAAATGCAGTCTTGAGATGGTAAAACACACTGAATCATTTTAAAAACACAATTTTCTAGCCACCACACAATGTCAGATATTCAAATGTCAAAAGCAACCAACTTAGAAAATGTCCCTACAAGAAAAGAAAATTCATAGCAAACCCAAGATTTTGGTATTTGCCTCCAGCCAGCCCTGAAGAGTAAGTCTCACCCGAAGTCATGACCCTCCCTTATGCAGAACTAGACACACATTGCTGTGGGGGTTAGCCCATTGTCTTCCCACCCTGCCTCGGATGCTGGGTCTGTTTTTTCTCTGCAGACTGCATATCGTGCAAATCAATTACCGCAAACTCCAACAACATTTAGAAGGAAACAAGTGTGTGAATCACATACAAAAGTTATAAAGTACTCACCAGGTCGCCTGTCCCAGGTTTTTCCATAATAACTGGGGGGAGCAGTAACCCTGCAGGAGAAGTAGGGTCTGGGTTGAGTGCCCCGGTGCCTCCTCCTATCAGGGAAACCACACCATTGCAATCCACTGAGCTGTTCCTTTTGCCCGTCTGGGTGTAGTTGGGAGAAGTAGGGTGAGAACTATGGCTCACTTGACTTTGCACGCTCGGACGCCTCCCAGATCTTGGAATTAAGAGAGAGCCCCGGTGGCTTTCATTTTCCCCAGCCGTGCTGATCTCATCATCGGCAAAATCTGTTTCGGAGCCAGTGTCTCTGCCACGGAGTCGGAAACTGAATATGCTTCCGTGGCTGGTTCTGCGCTTCACCAAGTTTGCACTGGGACCATAACTAATGCCAAGGAGAGTCTAGAAACCCCCAGAAAGGAAAAAGGGGAAAGAGAAACAACATATTGCAACATGTTTTCAGGACCAAGGAATGTCTGGGGAGAGCAGTAAGTTCCATTTTAAATCAAGTGCTTCAGAGAAAGACTTAATTACATGTATTCAACCTTTGCAAAGTTAAGAGGTTGAATAATCATTCCTAGCCATTAGGTATTTGTCTAATACTTGACAGTTAAAGATGTACTGAAATAGGAAGGCTCAAGGTGGCATTCGCCTTGTAGCGTGATGCTTCCCTTGCTTCTACTTCCCCCCTGGTCTGATAAGTGCCAAAGGACCTGGGAAGGCAGCACAAGGGGTGGAAGACAGGAGCAGGGAAAGGGATCCAGCTCCAGTTTACGGTACTATCACACATCTTCATAACAGCTAGGGAAGGAACTTTGCAGTGGGAGAAGAAGAGATAAAGAAATAGGGCAGGAAATGAACTGCAGGGAAAATGAGAAGAAGAGGGAAGAAGAAGAAGTAGTATACGACGGAAGAAGGTGATAAAGGAAAAAAATAAAACAAGAGCAAGAAGAGGGATATGGTTTCTTATTTTGTAGAGTGATTAGCCCAATGCACATGGCTGCTTTAAAGGGTAGGTAACCTCAGTACACAGCAGTCTCCCTGACACCCAAATATCAGCCTTGACGATCCACATCAGCTACTGAGAGTGCAACTCTGACAGAGCATCAGGAAGACATAGTAAAGCACTAAACACACCTAAACCCTGGCAGAATAAAAAGGATGTTCAGAAAATGCATAAGGAATTCAAGTCTATCCCCTTCCCTCATATCTGAAGAGGAAATTATTGGAGTAAGAGCATTTAGGCAGAACATACTTTTGATTTTATGGCCCATACAGAATTTTCAGCTTCTTCAGAACTTGCTTATGAACCAAGAATATATGAAGAGAGGTCAGATCTCCACAGCATCCACAAACCAGACAAACCTAACGAAGCCTGATTTAATTTTCACACCACTGAGTTACGTAATAATGCTACTTTATGACACTGGTACAAAGAAGAGTACAAAACCCAGTCCCCCTCTAACTAAAAACAACCTATTTGGATCACTACCAAATTTTAACTGGTCAAAAATCCATGCCTCGGTTTCCATGGCACGGTCATTGAGACTGATTTCTGATGGCAACACACTTCCAGCTGCTCAGATTGCATCTGAATGATGACTCAGCCTCACTCCCTCCAACCATGCCAGACGCAGCCTTGCAGAGAAGATTTACTATAAGCTTTGAAATGTGTCTCCCATGTTTCTCATGCATATGACATCCAGGGGCGAAAAGTGAAAACAAGAAATATTAATCTAAGAAACAAACTGGCAATGCACAGCTCCAATCCATGGTCATTCTGGTACGTGGTGTCTTGAAACCCATCCAGAATGAAGCTAAAGAGCAATTCTAGCTTTAACAAAGGTGCAATTTGTAACGCGACCCGCTCAACCGATGAGACAACAAAAACTATTAGATTAAAAAATGTATGTCATTTACAGAAATCCAGCTCTGTGTAAAATTTGTGAGCTGGGGAGTCATTAATTAGTCACATTTACTTATATCACTTACACATTTTCTATGAGCTTTTTATGGCTGCCAAATATCCCTAAATTCACTGACAACAAAATGAAAAAAGGCTTAGCCCATTACATGGCTCTTCAAAAAAACAAAATAAACTGATTTAAACTTTGCCCTCAGTTAAGCAAAGACAAATTATCTGAAGCTATTTATGATCATTTGATACATACAGCATGTGCAGATTCATATTCATGCATGTCAGTAACATTTATATAAAACCCTATTTAACAAGTGTCTCACTATTTTTTTCACTGCAATAAAAAGTAGAGACAAGTGCCACAAAGTTGTGACTTGAAGGCAACTAGCACAGGAATATAAAAAGGTTAATAACTTTTTTGTATAGTGTTTAAAAAGCCCTCAGAGACAAATTTCCTCCTTCCTCCTCTCTTTTTCTTTTTTTTTTAAGCTTTTTGGGTTTCTTCCAAGAATTTTTTTCTCTCTAGTAGGGATAGGATAAATATATTCAGATGAATAAAATTAAAGTAAGAAAATAAACCAAACTGTGGGTAATCCTGAAGCAAAAAAAAAAAAAAAGGATTTAAAAAAATTGAAACAAAATAAATTTGTAAGAATGTTTTAATGGGCATTTGTAATGAATTTTGAAAATTAAGTGGTAATACGTTTCCTTCTACTGTTCTGACACAGACTGTCTGCAGGTCAATTTTGATATTATATGTCTGATTTTTCTTTACGGCTGAAAGTTTCAGCTTTAATTGTCTATTCAGAGCCTGGCCTATCCAGCAAAGTGCAGTGTGAAACAAGTGATGTTTCAGACCATGGCTTACCATTCTCCTCTGACCATCATCGTAGTCACACTTGGGATTCCTTTGGTCTTCCCCATACTCTTCTGCTCCCAAAGATTTCTTTTTCTTTCGCTTATTTCTTCTTTCCTTGGCATTTTTGGATGCTAAAGGTGACATTTCCAATGAACTAAGTGACATCGAATCAATTCCTTTAGCAGCTAGTGCCTAAAACAGAAGGTGGTAGAAGGTATAAAATTTACTATTTGAGTTAAGGATCTCAGTGAGAGCTAATAATTACTCTGCTCAGCAATTATTTTTCATTTCAAGTGTTAAGGTTGGATAGGAGATAAATTTAAAATTTCAGTTGGTCCTTAATCATAAAAGTACCTCATATGGCTGGAACTGGTCTTAACCTGTTTCTAACCTCCACATTTAGCATGAAGCCAGACAGGTTCCTAGGACAAAGGCACACGTGCAGGTCTGCCACCCAGCTCATATGACGGAGCATTAGGAATGACTGAATGAAATTATGTGATTTATGTAGAGCTCACGCACAGGATCCTTCAACAGGTCAGAAGCGGAACAGCTTGTGTGCACACACGTGCAGGTGTACACTGCACACATCTCTGGAGTAACACTTCTCGTGTCAGTCAAAAAAAATCTCAAACTGAAGAATTTCATATCACACCTCCTCCCCCCAGACTTCGGCCCCTTGAAGTGGAAGTGACTGGACAGACGGGCAGCCAAGCTGGCTGCCAGGATATTCCTTCCCCTGTCACAGAGGGATGCTAGGCACAGCAGGCACATTTTTGTAAACACTTAACCCAAAGAGCAGCACAGGCAGCTATAATGAGAGATGCAAAGATAAAACCGTGGGCTGAACTTGATGAGGTGGCCTTTGCTTCGCCATGTGCTTCAGTGCTGTGCTGGCTATCGGTTGGGATGGCTGCGAGAGCTGATAACAGACCAACTGCTGGAAACCCAGCAGAAGCCGAGTGCAAAAGCCTGAGCACACAAAGCCACAGCCTTGGGAGAAAATGAGCAGCCAGGAGCAAGGATCCATAGGTGTAGGGAGGAAGGCACAGCCCACACTGACACACTGGGCCCCAGTCCCCAGTGCAGGTGGAAGGAGTGATGGGGGTCTGAGCACAATGCACAAGGTCAGGTTTGGGAGGTGTCAGGGTCTCAGAAGTAGCTGGAGACAAGGCCATTTGCAGAGCCCCAGCTGAAATACATACAACAAATGAATTGCAAAAAAAAAAAAAAAAGCGCCTCTCCAGGTTCCCAAGAACAGCAGAAACAGATGAATCCTCAGTGCTATTGTCTGTAAGGCACTAGAATCAAACAGGCAATCAGCTCTCCACAGCAAAATACTCCCTTCCTCCCACAGGCATCAGTCCAAGGAAAGTGAAGGCACTTAACAGTCGCGTAAAGAATCAATCATGTATTTCAAGGAGTAGCGGTAGCTCTATCAAGCTGAGAGCACAACAGAACTTAATTCCTGTGGGAAATATCTTTCATGAGCAAGCTGCTTAGAGAGGAGAGGAGGAGGGCTCAGACACCAGTCTAGGCTGTTCTTTTTTCTTTTTTTTTTTTTTTTTTGAGTCAATTGATTTAATTGCTGTGCTGAAGTGCTTTCTCTTTACAAAGATTCAGCAAGTCTTTTGGTGTTAAGTTCAGGTTTAGAAATGTGTCAGACCAGTTGTGTAAATTGACCGATGGTCCCCAAGCCGGCATATCAATTATATTTGCACTCTCTTTGTACTGCACAGGGTAAAAACTGGGCTAAAGAGTTTTGGTTTTCCTTTCTGATTGTCATCGTGCTTTACTGATCTCAAAAATATTGTGGGTTGTGCTACTAAGCGTGCTGTACTCTTACAGCAAAATAAGCTGATTTTCAGTTTGTTAGCATTTTTTTACCTATTGCTTGGGCTGAAATGCCCTTTTTCAGTTGTTGAAAGGATTTGAACTAAATTGTTTCTCACGGCATGGAGGATGATCCCATGTCCTGTCTATCTACCCTTTCTGGTTGGGTTCCTGTGGCTGGACCATGTGCTGCTCCCTCTGGCATTGCAAACCATAACCCACTACCCTGGCTCCCAGGGAAAGGAAGAAACTTGTGACCAGGCATGTCTGGGACAGGTGGTGGTTGAAGGATGGGAGAAAAGCTTAGTTCACACAAGCCCTGACACAGAGATTATGCAGGCAATAGGAGCTGAGGCAAGAATTTAGCAGTACAGTGAGAAAGTCAACCCCAAAATCTTGATAAAGGCTTGGAGAGCAAGATTAAAACTGAATAGTCTGACTGGGGTGGGACACTTAAGAAGGACATCTGAAAGCTACATGGTGCAGCCACCCAATTCACTTTCCTGACCCTCTGCTTCCAGATATCTAATTTGAAATGTCTGGGGTTGATTTGCAGAATTACTGGACTTCACTAGTGAACACGCGCGCAAATCGCTCTACTCCTGTTTCCTTTTCATAAGGCTAGGATAATTTTCCAGGAGTATTGCAAATACAAATGAATATTTCTGAAGCACATGTCTGAGCAGAGACAAAAGGCACTGAAAAACTAAGGATGTTAGTCATTTAGTCTCTGAAGCAGGCTTTGAATGCCTAAGTTGGAGAGTCTGCTCAAGCTGCCCTAAGGCTACAGAACAAATTATGAGAAAGCGAAGAGCTGCTCTTGAGTCATGCACTGTCCACCCTTTGTGCTGTGCAGGGCACAGGAAAAATGACATGTGGTCGGCTGAAGAAAAGTCTGTTATAAAGCATATAGACAAATGGGAGCAATTTAGGTTTTCATGAGCAACCTTCAGTTTGACATATTCTGACTTTCCTTTTTTGTGTACATACAGGCTTAACTGAAATCAAAGCCTTCAAAAGGAAATTCTTAAATATCTATAATTATAGCTGGGGCTACTAAAGTTGACTGTTATTAGGAAGAGCTCAGCTGGAGTCAAAACACATGAAAATTTGTATAAAATAGGTACAGGTTGGAGCTCAGTTTGCTCCCTTGGGTTATGGTAGAAAGTTACTCTGTTCAAAGTGCCTGTACATGGAGTAAATTGCATTTACCTATTACTTAAACCATCAAAGAGGATCTTTAAAAGGACTTAAATGATGTATAAGCTTCTATTAGCACTTTGTCAAGGATGAATTGCATTTTCTATTTTCTTTCCAAGGATTTAAATGGGCTTTGGATTAGGCCCTGAAGCCATATGTACCCGAAAGAAAATTATGTGTATTAGTTTATATTGTGTATCAAGGTTTTATTTCTCTCAACTACAGTGCTACGTGTTATTTCAGACTAATTTTCTTATTGTCTTCTTGTTCACAGCACCTAAATTGTTCTCTTAAGCTGTTTAATAAAGACTTTCTACCCCACACAAACCACAGGCAAATTAACCAGTGTTATTAAGGCTATATGGCTACATCCACCATATGGCCTCCCTGTTTTGTTTAAACTTACAACATAACATTAAATCCATATCCTTTGCATAATTTGCAAAGCTTAACCTCAAGATCTGGCTATTTACTTGTTCAGGAATTAAGCTGTATGTGCTTCAAACAGGTTATCCTACATCTTTATGTTCATTATCTGTTAGGTGGTTGGATATTCCTGGCAGTTGGAATAAGACAGTGAGGAAATGAACATGAGCTGAAGTGCTGGTGGAAGAACGTTCAGCTGGGGCTATGGCTGAGCTACCAAAATAGCTGTTCTGTGCTCAAATGCAGATGCAGTTATACCATAATTAAAATGTCTGATATTCTGCCCAATATAAATTCCTCTGCTGGCACATGTGGTACAGTTAACCTAATACATCTCTGGATATGTAAACCCTAAATGGCCCTGATCCTAGCAGGTAGAACCAACCTTTTTCTTTTAGAAAGGACGGTAACAACTCTGTCCAGGTTCATACACCTTAAGCTGCTTTCAAGCAAACTCTTACTTGAGTTATCACATAAATGTAAAATAAAGAGAACGTGAATCTCAAGGTACAATCTGTTCAAGTTACCTGAAGCCAATCATGCAACAGAGTTTACTGACCTCCTGCTCTTTCTTTAACATCTCCATGGCTTCCCGAAACTTTCTTTCCTTCTCTTCTGTTTCAGCAATAGTGGCTTGGTTCTGCTCTTCATATGCCATGGCCACAACAGCCAGAATCAGGTTGACCAAATAAAATGAGCCCAGAAAGATGACCAGCATAAAAAAAAGCATGTAGATCTTCCCAGCAGATCTGAGAGTCTGTAAGCACAAAAGTACCAAAATCACTAACAATATTTTTTTTACATTTTTTTAATCAAACTAAATTTTTATGATTTTTTTACTATTTTTTTAAACTTAGATTTAAAATATAACTGAATTCACCCTTTGTTAACAGCCAAAACATAATCCCTTTGATAGCAAATGACAACCACATTCAAGGAAATAATCTTCTCACCAACATGTTTTTATACCTTATTCAAAAAATACGTGCCTTGCAGTAAAATCAATTTTTAATAGAAGAACTCTTTCCTCCTTACCATATATCTCTACTGGTTTTCTTTGAGAATAGAAAATCTTACAATCAGCTGCAGTGAAAGCTTTCCCCACACAGCTCCATCTACTTTTGTCCAGTGCATAGAAACTTTCCAAGCGGGATTCATGTATTTCCCTTCAAATGTCTACAGTCTAGGTCCTTTACAGTCACTGGGGCCATAAAGATACTTAAAGATATTTAGACATCTGCCTCAGGATAAGAAGAATCAAACCTTGGGTGCTGTTGATCGTATTGCCTGGTTCTCCACCAGAGTTACAGGCATAACCGGAGTTTAGGATAACATGTCCTATGGTCAATGACTTGATGGTAGTGATAGAAACCACTGTGTGATATTGTAAGGTAAATAATAAAAAAGTGATGTTCACCCTTATTTGCCATGACAGTTTCAGCCTTCTAGATTTGTACATGCACCTTTGTGCCAAGTAAATGAATACAGTTGTTTAAAGAATCTTCAATTTCATTGTACTACGTTTTCCGGAAATGAAATTGTATAACTGGCTGCATGTGAAGCTTAAATCCCTAGTACCTTCAGAGATGTCTACCTCCGTACCTTCAGCGTAGTATCTGTCAGCACTAACTCCCTTGATTTCCTTACAAGTAAGCTTCGGTTTTGGCAATTTTGAGATGCAGAATAAATCTTCAGTAGCTCCAAGGACAAAGTATGTAATTCAGTACCAAACTATCGCATGTACTTCTTCAGTGTTTGCATACATTTCAGGAAATGCACACTAAAATGAGCGTTCACTAGCAGACCACCTTGCATACATGACTAAGTTGACTGTAAGTTGTCCATGATGACAAGTTTGCAGCAGTGAGAACTGAAAGATACCAGGTAGTTTTGCCATCTGCTGAATTTCTGTTATCACGCTTTGCAAAGAAGATATGACCAGTACACAGGTGCTTCTCTAGTCCTTTTTTTGAGTCAGACTCAAAAGTTTAGTTCATGTCACACCAGCCACCAAAGAAATCATTAATTGGCAACATGGTGATCTTCATTAAGTGGTGAATTTCAATTAGATTCAGGTAAATTACACATTCAAAGCATCGTTCACTCAATACCAATTTTCCCCCCTTTACCAAACACCTAGCCTAATGTCTTCTGGTATCATCACTCCTATGAAAATAAATTAATTGGAACACTTGATAGTTCTTCTCCAGCAAACATGCAGCACAGTTTACCTAATGACCAATATTTATTTCTTGTCTATAATTATTGGATAGTTAATTGTTATGAGATGATGTGTTTATTTTATATTTTTAACAGTAATAAAACAATCTCGTACCTGTTGATAGAGACGTTCCCAACAATCTTGGGTCATAAGACGGAACAAAGAGAGAAAGGCCCAGCCAAAAGTATCAAAGCTTGTGTAACCATGGTCAGGATTTTCCCCGGCCTTCAGACATATATATCCCTCAGGGCATGTGCTGCAAAACATGAGGGACGATACAGCAAATGCATCATAGATGGCTTCAGCATGCAGAAACTTATTTCCATGGGAATGTAGTGAATGCTCAGTTAAAAGCACAGATGCTCAAAAGTAAATACCTCCACTGGGTAAAAACACAGGAAGCCCGTGTATGCTAACTTCATAATACCAAAGATCTTTACAATCTTATTTTTCCTTTGAAAAGATAAACCTGGAAATGGTAACCATAGCTCGAGCTGCAATGGCAAATGAACACCTAGCATTGCAGATATTTGAAACAGACCGGAATTAAGTGTCTAAGCAGGACATTAGTGCTTAAATATTTCTCTAGGCACTTATTTCTAATTAAGCATCTTAAACTTGGTGTCTCCTGTTACAGCTGTGGGTAATACTGTGATAGTGAACCTGCTTTTCTGGTTACATAGTCTGACACTGGCTGGATGACATCAGCATGTGCCACCTGAGCACCTTCCCAATTTCTTACTATGCCTGACCTTGCACTCACCTCCTGAAGGACTAAATCTTTAATTTAAGAAACCCAGCCCTTTATTCCACACACTGCCATAACCTGGGGTCATGACATTTTTTCCTGTTTCTGCCAGGAAAATGTTTTCCTCGTGTGTCTTGCAGATTCACGTATTAAATGGCATGCAGATAGCATGAATTTCACTGGCTCTCATTAAACTTTGAGACCCTTTGCAAGTAATTTTCTAGACCTATATGCCAGAAGAGGAAAAGAATTCTCTCTGCTTTACAGCCAGCAGTGCTACTATGTAAGTACTGAATTACATCAATAAGTGAAACACAAGGTGGAAGAGATACTGAGCCAATGAGCCACCCCCTCTCCCAGAACAGTCCAATATATGATTAGTCAAAAGACTGAACACACCTATTGCATATCACAAGCTGCTTCCCAAACGTAAGATATGCCCCATGAGAAACTGAAGACATAGAGCAATACACAAAGAATTACTGCTCTATATGGCATAGAAGAGAATATGAGATCAAGGATGTTGCCATTGTCCTGGACCCTACAGTATTTGGGAATTTGTTAAGTGGGAACCATCTAACTATCTGGAGAAGAGATCTCAGTAGAACTTGCAGTAATTCCAGCTCTGTCTGTTCTCCTTATGCTTCAGACAAAGACGAAGCTGGTACAATTCAGTGAAAATTCTAGCGAACAGGACTAGGGACGGTTGGAACAAGAGGGAATGTGAAAGCACTTTGTCAGAGATCTGAGACATTGAGAGACACCAATTCCCAGTCAATGTTTCGATAACAGAGCAATACTCTCTGTCTTGATAGCTATAGGAATCAAGGTTTTCTGAACTGCTTTCAGATAGGAGGATTATTGTAATATCCAGCCATTTAGAGTGTGTCCAGTTTATACAGCTTTTAATTTTTTTTTCTCTCACCAAAAACCTGTAGATCGTTTCAGACACTGCTGTTTTTTACCAAAGCAGAATATTGCCAAAAAATTAAATACAAAGCAGTAATAAAAGTAATGAAATGTAATTTTTAAAATGCACTCCAAAAAGAAATCGATTCCTGAGAAAGCAGAGTATGTCTTAGTATGAAAATCAAGGATTTTTTTTTAATACCAATTGTGTACTGATACAAATCAAATTTCTACAGCACAGGATAGCAACTCTCTACTGCATGTCAAGATGAGAATAGGTTGCCATAGGTTTGAAGTTATACAAATCTATGGTGTCAGCCACCAACATTAGACATTCAACAACACTTTAAGAAGCTTAGCTTAATATCATTAGTCAAGCACAAATTTTTAAGCAAGTCTGCTTTGAACTCCGAAAAAAGGAGTGCTGAGGCATTGCAAAATGTGTGCATATCCTTGTTTGTAGTAGTCTTCAGAAAAAGAAATAAAAATGAAAAAGAACAGATGATGTTTAATGAATTAAATGTATCACACAAGTGAGACTATAATAAGTGATTCTGTCACCTTAGGTAGAGTCAAGTTGGTTTATATCAGTTGAGAATTTAGATAATAGTAACTATATCTCACAACGAATGTAAAAGAGAGATAATTCTGATTTTTTCCTTGCCAGCCTAGAAATATCTTCTTCTAGATCTTTTCTACTTTGACTACCTATTGTTTCCTGATAAGAGCCACATTTGAATAAAAATTACAGTAACATTACTGAGTTAAAAGGGAACAAATTCAGAAATCTCAGCTTTTTTCCCCTAAAAATGCAGATGCACACTGAATGTCTCTTGTATATCCATGTCCTTTTTTGAGGCAGGCTTTTCACTAAATCTCCTGTCTCCCAAAGGCAGCATCTGCTGTCACTTTCTGCCATAGAGACATGAGATTTCTGCCTCTGATCTGCTGCTGCAGCCTTCAGTGCTCATGATGTGCTGCTGACACTGTTCACAAGCTCTGAGAAACGGATCCTCTGGGTTCCTGAGAAGGAAACCCTTTCTGCTTCCATGCCCATAGAGGACATTCCTTTTACCATGAGAAAATGAGTGCACTCACGCATTGTGCTGGCTGGAAACTAAGTGATCATGTCCAGAGGTGGACAGACTTTCCTTAGTCTTCCACAAAACACCAGTGGCTCCATTGAGGCAGTCCCATCACTTCTATTTTAATGTTATTATTAATGGTTAAAACATCTGCATACAGCTGTGAGAAACTTGATGGTGACTACTGTAATGGTGAACTTAATCCTAGATGGAACAGTTGGCTGGAAATTAGGTGTCATCTAGAATAAATTGCCTAAAATCTTGGGCAAAATGGAAATTTTGCCATTAATTTCGGTATGAGAGGCTTCCCTCTTAATCTCTTCACCATGTTGAACAAGAGAGTATGAAAGAAAGGAGATATTAGGAGCACTGCACTTAGATGTATATTCATAGACACCTCTCAGCACCATAAGATTAGAGGGTACAGTCACTCTTGGGTTCATTGCCAGTTTTGCTTTCTGGGGAAACTGTTTTGATGCAGAAGAACATTAGAACAACTGCTCAAAGCACTTTACCACAACTGCTTGGAAAGCTCTAGGATGTGGAGATATAACTCCTCTGACTGTGAAAGTGAGCAATGGTACCTCAGACATATTTTTTGTTTATAATACAGTTAGTATTTTTTCATGTTTCATTCCGTCATTATATGCCTCTAAAACCTTTTCCACTCAGCAACAAGTTGTTGGTGTGAAAAGGTCTGTCTGACTCGGCAGTGAGTATACATGGTTCTCTAATATTATGTTCGGGTATAAGAGCACTCAAACAAAATGTCTTCAGCACAAAAAGCTTGAACACCAGCTCAAAAATGCTATTAATGTTAGCTCTCATCCTTCTTACACAGACTAGACACTTGAGACAAAATATCCTACTTTTCAACTTCATATTCTTGTTCACCCTCTTTTGTGGCTGACCGAAGCGGTAACCTATGGGGTGTGGGAATACCTTAAAAACACTAAGGAAAACAAATGCTGCTTCTCAGAAAAACACTCTACAGAAATTTAGGTGTGAGATTCACACATGAGAATATTGTTCTGCAACTGACACCATTTCCTCTGAGGATTTTTTTAAGGAGTCTCAAGACTTTGCTCGAAGCATGTTCAATGTGTAATATAAAGCCTTCCCCTTCAGATGTTTTTAGCAACCTCTTTAGCTTCTTTTACCTCGGGGAAAAATTTCACAGGATTGCACTTTCCTCTGATACACAGGGATGGGCAACAACAACAAGCTACATAAATAAAACAAGCTCCACAGGAGCCTCACAGGATGCTGTTCAATTGATCACAATAAAATTAGTGTCATTGATTCAGAAAAGTTAAAAGCATCAGTCTACCCACCTATGCATCAGGCTGTAATCACTATTGTAAGCTGGCATTGGTACAGGGAATTAAAGAACATAAGAAACAGCTTTCTTTTAAATAACACAGATTGGGAATGCCAGAGGGTTGTAGCTGAGGGGCATAATTACAAAATGCTCTGTCTCAAGAGTTTAATCTAGGGAAGCCAAGTAACCTGCTGATCCAGACTGTAGTGGCCAATAGGGTTGTGCAGTAAAAGAAGATTTGTAAAACAACCATGTGTGGGGTTGTAACATTCAGACTCTGAAATACAGGGAGGGTTGTCCATGTGTTACCAGCAGTTAGCATCAAACAGCTGCTAATGTCAGCTATGACATCTGTAAGGTAAAGGCTGCACTATCATTTGGTTTAGTGCAAAGGCAGATACGGCTCGCTACACTGAGTTGTTTATAAAAAAGGCAATAGTGGGAGATTGCAGCTAGCAATCTCTCACCTAGCAGCTCTCACTGCAGGCATCTAAGGGGTCAGAGAGAATTTGAAGGGCATTTGTAAAAACAAGGGTTGCCAGTGGTCTGGAAGGAAGGAAGTGCTGCTGGTGAGGCACTGGAACAGGTTGCCCAGAGAAGCTGTGGATGCCCCATTGCTGGAAGTGTTCAAGGCCAGGCTGGATGAGGCTTGGAGCAGCCTGGGCTAGTGGAAGGTGGCCCTGGGCAGGGGGGTTGGAACTGGATGATTTTTAAGGGCCCTTCCAACCCAAACCATTCTATGATTCTAAGTACAACCAAATCCAACCAAATGCCACCAAAAAAAAAAAAAAAAATAAAAAAAATCAGAATAAAGAGCAACATCGACCAGGAGCTGAAACTGGAAGAGCGAAGGGAAGGAGACACCCATGAGCAGGCTGGCTCACAGGCTCAGAGCACTCACTGACCTGTGCATGCTACAGACTTGCATCCACAAAAAAAGTTTCAGGCTCCCCCACTGGCTACTTGTTCAGGCAGATGGAAAACCAGTGGTTTCAGCCAGAGACATTAAACTTTTCCATGCCCGCATGCAAACAGCAAGAGGAAGAACTGCTGCTGCAAGATGGTTTTTTAGACTTCATGCTGCAGTAAGGTAAGCAAACTCTCATTTCTCCTCACTCAATCCAGCGGCCAGACACTGGATCTTCTGTCTAACCCATCAAGAAAAATTTAAGGCAATAATCTATCATCATAAA